GTCTCTGGACGTCTATAGAACGTCTCTGGACGTCTCTAGGACGTCTCTGGACGTCTCTAGACGTCTCTAGGATGTCTCTGGACGTCTCTAGGATGTCTCTGGACGTCTCTGGACGTCTCTAGGATGTCTCTGGACGTCTCTGGACGTCTCTGGACGTCTCTGGACGTCTCTAGGATGTCTCTGGACGTCTCTGGACGTCTCTGGACGTCTCTGGACGTCTCTGGACGTCTCTGGGGGCGTCTCTAGGGCGTCATGCCAAGGTCCCCCTCCTTCTGGGGCGACTGAGGAAATACCTCCTCCTTTCTCAGGGGCTGCGCCATCCGTCCTCCTCAGACCACGGGGTCAATGGGATCCTTCACCCCCCATCTTCCTCCTACCTCCGGGGCACTATCTGGGGGGAGGAGGGGGGAGAGGTACTGGCAAACTCGCGCTCACTTTACGCGCGCGAGAACACTCTTGGGTTGTCGCGGCCTCCTGCTTAGTGTGATCTTGTCGCGCAGATTCTGCGATCATGCACGAATCCCTAATCTGTTATTTAACAACGTAAATTATGATGAAATGTCACTGTGAACGAATCAGGATTGTCAAGGGGGTCACTGGCCCCCTTGACACAGGTTGTCAAGATCATTTCCACAGTTGTCTTTACAATAATATCCACACTTATCTCAGTTATCGCCTTAGTTATTTTCCAGTTATCACCGGGAGTTATCACAACAAGGGTTGTCACGAGATAGGAAGAGAGAGTTACGGTGGGTGTGGTGTGGGAGGAGGTCACTGTCTGACCTCCTTCAGGCGTCACATTAATAACTTCTCACTGTTGCACTGTTTCTCTACCTTGGCTGGCTGCTACCACCCCCCTACCTCACCCCGGCAGTGGTGTGTGGTAGAGTGGTGTGGCTGGGTTGTAGTGGATGGGGTAGGGGTGGTGGTTGGTGGTGGTTGCAGTGAGGTAGAGTGTTAGTTGGGGGGAGGGGGTGTGGTGTGGTAGAAGGATGGTGGTTGTGGTGTGGCGCAGAGGTGCTGGTTACGTTGCTGGTAGTTAGAGATAAGCGTGGTTGTAGTTTGAGGTTGTAGGATGCAAGGCTGGTTGTGGTGTAGTAGTGGTGGTGGTGGTGGTGGTGGTGTTGAGCAAGGCTGGGAAATGGTGGTGATGTTGGTAGTGGTGGTGTCACTGTGGGTGGAGGCGGGAATATAGTGCAGGGGGGGCTAGCGGCGGCGGGGGTAGTAGTGTGGTGGGCGAGGTGTGGTGAGTGCGTTGTGGTAGTGTGGCGTGGTGAGGCGTGTTGGTGTGGTGCTGAGCGCCGCGACCACCACCACGTCCAACAAAGGCGGCATCCTCAGCCTTACTGGTGGCCGCCAGCCCCTGCCGCCAGCCTCGTGTGTGTTCGCCTTAAATGCTATTTCACTCTTGCCTCCTGTGCGCACGCTATTTTCTCTCTCCCTCTCTCTCTCTCTCCCTCTCCCTCTCTCTCCCACTTTCCGGGGATTTCCGAACAAATCCCTCCAATTTCCCAAACCCTGTCTCTTAATCCTAAACTCTTACTTAAACTCTCAGATCTGAGTTAAAAAAAAACAAAAATAATTGGGCTCTTGTTTTTATACGAGTTACCCCTAGAACGTCGCAGGCCTGTTTACGCGAGTTAACCCTCCTTCCCGCTGTCGTTTTCTATGATACACACATACAATTGTCGCGTTTTTTCTGGATGACATTTCTCTCACCGACCAAAATGGCCTTCTCGTAGCCTCCTTATTTCATAAAGTTTCCTGGAATTTAACTCGTTTAAACCCCACAAATCATCATCAAGTGTCCACTAACTCACTTCTCTTTTCTGTGGGTAATATGTTTTGTACCTGAAAGTCACGACGAGGTTGTGGTAGTGGAATAAGTTAGTTTATGTGAGTTTGCCCCGCGACATTGATCAACCGCCCGCGTCCGGGCTCGCCGCCCCCTGCCTTGATACGATAATTTGCGGCTCTATGATCGCAGATTATTGCTGGGGATTAAACATTTGTTTAATAATAATAATTTTGGGATATCATTTCTCTCCTCACAGCTCACACGTGTTTGGCTACAGCTTGTTTCCTTGTAGTAATGATGAGTTGAAGGTGTTATTGCTAGTCTTCTGATCTCCCACACCTGTGGGGGAGTGTATTATGGTTCCTGTGGGGAGTGTATTATGGTTCCTTTGGGGGGAGTATATGGTTCCTGTGGGGGAGTGTATTATGGTTCCTGTGGGGGAGTGTATTATGGTTCCTGTGGGGGGGTGTATAGGTTCCTGTGGGGGTGTATATGGTCTCTCTACTGTATACACCGCCATCTTGAGGTTATCTTGAGATGATTTCGGGGCTTTAGTGTCCCCGCGGCCCGGTCCTCGACCAGGCCTCCACCCCCAGGAAGCAGCCCGTGACAGCTGACTAACACCCAGGTACCTATTTTACTACTACGTAACAGGGGGCATAGGATGAAACAAACTCTGCCCATTGTTTCTCGCCGGCGCCTGGGATCGAACCCTGGACCACAGGATCATGTATTAATGTATGAATATCCTCTCCATTTCACCCTAGGTCTAGGAGATTCGAACCATTGACCCACACGTGTGTCAGGCCGAAGCTCTACCGATCGAGCTATGAGTAGCCTTAACAGGGAAAGTTTCTTAATTTAGTCTCAAGTCTCCTACAGTCCCTTCTCACAGGATGGTTAGAAGTACAAGGTCAGTAGCCTTTGTGAACTTTCGATGTATTATGAGGATATCCTCATTGAACACGAGAGGTAATAAAGTGATTACAAAGCTCCAAGTGCCTCATACAGGCAGGTCTGAGGGGTCTAATGACTGGACATTCAATAATGTAGTTTGTGGGATTATGGCCCCCCGTTCCTGCCCGCGGAGTTGGCACTTGGAGCGTCCACAATTGGGAGATTCAGGCGCCGGAAACACTTCACTGAATGGTTACTGTATAGAGTCACTGACGGCTTCCTTTCCTTTCGTTCTCATATCCCAGCTCCTTGTCCTCATATCCCAGCTCCTTGTCCTCGTATCCCAGCTCCTTGTCCTCATATCCCACCTCCTTGTCCTCGTATCCCAGCTCCTTGTCCTCATATCGCTGCTCCTTGTCCTCATATCCCAGCTCCTTGTCCTCATATCCCGCTCCTTGTCCTCGATCCGAGCTCCTTGTCCTCATATCCCAGCTCCTTGTCCTCATATCCCAGCTCCTTCTCATATCCCAGCTCCTTGTCCTCATATCCCAGCTCCTTGTCCTCATATCCCAGCTCCTTCTCATATCCCAGCTCCTTGTCCTCATATCCCAGCTCCTTGTCCTCATATCCCAGCTCCTTGTCCTCGTATCCCAGCTCCCTGTCCTCGTATCCCAGCTCCTTGTCCTCATATCCCAGCTCCTTGTCCTCATATCCCAGCTCCTTGTCCTCATACTAACTTACTACTTTCTCTTCATAATCACCACCATCTGAATTTTATCAAAAGATGTATAAAATTCACATGACAAGTAAGGCATTCTGCAACCGCCGACGGAAAGGCGGGGCCCAGGAGCTGACGATCGTTCCTGCAAACTGTGCTAATTAACAACCACACAGGTAAATTAACACATGACAGAAGCAAAGGACAGACCGTTTTCTTAGGAATTTCTTAAGTCCTCCATTTTGTCTGTTCTCCAACAGACACAAGACTGCCAAAGAAAGTTCTTAGCGAAAGAACATTTTGTTCTAACGCTGAGAACTTTCTCTCCCCCCTCTCGCTCGTTTCTCTCAGCCACTTACACTCGGCCCTCGAGTGATTTCACTCGGGTAATCTTCGCCTCGAGTGCCACTTGGGACTTTCGCTCAAGATTTGGTTTCATAGTTTGTACTTGAAGGGCCAGAGGGCTTCCGGGAGGTGTGTCTTGAGGAGTATGGAACGACCCGAGTGCCTCAATGAACAACTTCACTCTCACAACCTCTCCTTCACTCTCACAACCTCTCCTTCGCTCTCACAACCACTCCCTCGCTCTCACAACACTAGTGGGACTATTGCGTGCAATATAAGTTGATGATCTTCCAGGCTGTGTT